TTCAAATATTCTTGGTTCCTGAGTGATAGGTAACATCAAGAGTTTGTTAGCAAGGGTTGTCGGCCTTATGTAAAAACCGCCTGCCAAAACGGTTCTGTTCTTGGGATTGGCTAGTGAGAAATGACTGTGTTTCCCTTACCCATGCACCACTTTGTTCCCAGGTGCCAGCATTTGAAGGCGAAGATGGATTCTGTGTCTTCGAGAGCAATGCTATCGCCTACTACGGTAATTGGCAGTGGGCGTGGGCATGGAAGGGTCTGGAGGTGAGGGGTGTAGGAGCGGGTAAGGGTGAGCGGAGTGGAGAAGGAGAGGACTCCCAGGGACGGGGCTGGTGTTGGCGTGACCCCACGGTTCTGACCTTGGTGTTGCGCCTGTGCAGTGGGCAACGAGGAGCTGCGGGGGAGTAGTCCAGAGGCAGCGGCCCAGGTGGTGCAGTGGGTGAGCTTTGCTGACAGCGACATAGTGCCCCCAGCCAGTACCTGGGTGTTCCCCACCTTGGGCATCATGCACTACAACAAGCAGGTAAGCTTGGAACCTGGGGAGAAGCCAAAAGTGGGGTGGTGTGAGCTCTAGGGTGTCAGGCAGTAAGAAATAAGGAAAAAGGAGATGCCAAGAACGCAGGGATAGCAAAGGCCCTAATCTCTGGGCTGCGAGTGTGCAGCACCGCGCTGTTGGTAGAGTCCGAGTTCTTTGTCAGACTGTCAGGCCCGTGGAGGTGGTGTCTGTCAAGAGCGGTTAGCTCTGGCTGGTGTGGTTCAGTGGCTGAGTGCTGGCTTGCAAACCAAAAGGTCACAGGTTTAATTCCTGGTCAGGGCACATGCCTCTGTGTGGGCCAGGTCCCCAGTTGGTGGTGTGTGAGAGACAACCAACTGATGTTTTTCTCCCTCTCTTTTTCTCTACTTGTTTTCTCTAAGAAGTAATTAAAATCTTCAGAAAAAATTTTTTCAGAGTGGTCAGAGGAGAGACCTCTGCTGCAGGAAGGTTATGTCCAGTGACATTTGGTTAGACCAAATGACTTCTAAGTTCCCTTCTGCAACACAAAGATGTCCATGTGGCCGTGAACAGTAGAGTGGAAAATGAAGCCAGACCGCCTCAAGAGCAGATTTAGCAGTGAGGCTTCACGGGTAGCACACTTGAGTTCGACTCCATTGAGAGAGGGTGGGGATCAGCCCGGACTCAGTAGGTGAAGTGGCTACCCCAGGTCAGCTCCTGGGGGAGAGGGAGGGACTCATACCCACTGCCAAGTCTGATCCTTTTAAATTAAATGGACAGGCCACAGAGAATGCAAAGGAGGAAGTGAGGCGAGTCCTGGGGCTGTTGGATGCTCACTTGAAGACCCGGACTTTCCTGGTGGGCGAACGTGTGACACTGGCCGACATCACGGTTGTCTGCACCCTGCTGTGGCTCTACAAACAGGTGCGTGGGTGAAGAATCGGGTTGGCAAAGGGCAGGTGGGATTAGCACCTGAGTGCCGAGGCTTCCAGGTGGCTCGCTGTCCTGCTCTGAGGGAGTCGGGCTAGTCTCCAGGAACCCCGGGATGGGGTGCTGTGCCTGCTTTCCTTCCTTTCCGAGAGATTCGGCGATGTTCTGTTGCCTTGAGTTTCTGTTTGGCGGCTCAGATATTTCTGGTGGAGCATGGCTGTGTTTAGTTGGAAAGACAGGTAGGTGTAGATTCAGCATCGAAGTCTTTCGGAGGCAGAAGTAGGTTCTGTTCTTGGCCTCGTTACTTACGAGTTGTAGGTGAGGGGGCGTGGGTGTGTGAATTCCTTTGGTCCTGTGAAACGAGGGCACTGGTGTCACCGTTGAGGTTACTGGGTCAGAGGAGGTGGTGCGGCGCTGGTTCCCAAACTGCAGCTCTTGGACTGGTGCTGTGCTGAATGATAGTTTGCGCGCGATGCTACGGAAAAGGGGCCCGCTTCATGCCGGACCCCATGCCAAAGGCCTTAGAGCTGACGAGGTCTCGCCTGTTGTATGGGCGAAGGAAAATTTCCCGTGCCCACGGCCGCTGCTGGTCGATGGTGGAGTAGACCTGGGACCGAGGACTGCAGGACAGCACCACGGGACTGACTGCTGTGTCTGTTTCCGCAACAAGACGATTTTCCCTCCGATCTTGGCAGACTAAAAAAAATGGTGAATGAGTTTGTTGTGAAGCTGTTTAAAGGACTGTCATTCTGAAATCAGGTTTTTGCTTTTGCATATTTTTTACTTGTTATTTACTTAGTAAAATGAGTAATTGATAGACCTTTGTGGATCCCAGTCTTTGAAAAAACTTTTATTGACACGTTAAATTTAGAAGATTGGAAACCGGCCCTGGCTGTGTGGCTCAGTGGACTGAGTGCTGGCCTGAGAACCAAAGAGTCACCAGTTTGATTCCCAGTCAGGGCACAACCCCAGCCTGGGCTGTGGGCTAGTCCCCAGTAGGGGGAACTCGAGAGGCAACCACACATTGATGTTTCTCTCCCTCTCTTTCTCCCTCCCTTCCCCTCACTTTAAAAGTAAATAAATCTTAAAAAAAAAAAAAAAGATTGGCTACTGGGTGTGAAATGGCTTTGTAAAAGGACCTGGGCACCATATAAATATCATTCCTACCCAATAGATGCTTAGCAAATGGAAGGTGGGACTGAGCACCCATCAAATTGGACTGGACCGCCAGAAAGAGACTGGGAAGGTTGGCGGGAAGGGGCCCTGTGGGGAGAGACGGTGTTCTGGACGGCCGCCTGCAGGGCCCAGGAGCATGGAGGAGCTCCGGGGCCGGGAGAAGCTGGGTGTCTTGGTCTCTGGCTTGAAACTTCAGGGCCTTCCCCTCCCCTAACCTTGTTTCTGCCCTTCTGTCCTGGCAGGTCCTGGAGCCTTCGTTCCGCCAGGCCTTCCCCAACACCAACCGCTGGTTCCTCACCTGCATTAACCAGCCCCAGTTCCGCACCGTCCTGGGGGAGGTGAAGCTCTGTGAGAAGATGGCCCAGTTTGATGGTGAGTCTGAGGGGGCTGAGCTGCCGGGCGGGGGCTGGTCTGCTCAGTCTCAGCCCCCGGACTTCCAGTGGAGCTTCAGGTGGCGCGGGCTCTCGGGGTGTGGGGCACCACACGTGGTGCCAGACGTGTTGTGAAGGTACACCTGCTCGTTTGTGTTGCTGTAGTAGGTGTGCGTGTGCTGTCTACGGAGGGTCGTCCTCTTGCTTAGGGACACAAAGCGGACTGGTGGCGGCCTGGGTGGAGCCGTGTCCCCCCCATCTGCCCCACCCACCGGGCAGTTTTCCTCTGTCCTGCTTGCTGCCTGGTTTTGGAAGATGGTGCAAAGACGAAGAGTCTCGACTTTTCTCTCTTCCTCTGTACCAGCTAAAAAGTTTGCTGAGAGCCAGCCTAAAAAGGACACCCCCAGGAAGGAGAAGGGGTCTCGGGAGGAGAAGCAGAAACCCCAGGCCGAGCGGAAAGAGGAGAAGAAGGCAGCGGCCCCCGCCCCCGAGGAGGAGATGGATGAATGTGAGCAGGCGCTGGCTGCCGAGCCAAAGGCCAAGGACCCCTTCGCTCACCTGCCCAAGAGGTAAGGCTGGTGCGGGGTTGGGGGCGTGTGGCCTTCACACAGCTGGGGCCCAGAAATTCAGGATGTCGCCATACGAAATACAAGGTATGTTTTAGTGGCAAATAAGGTGACTTCCTGAATTCAAGAATTGGGTGAGTTTTTGAAAGTAGAAAGTATGTTCCAAATGCATCCAGTATTGGGGAAGGTCAGAACTTCCTTTCTAGCAAAAAAATAAAAGGCAGATGGGCACAGATTTGGTGTGGAGGTACACTGGTCGTGAGTGTGCTTGTTTGAGACACCCCAGCACTGCAGCGAGAGGTGCCAGCGGGAAGCGGCAGCCACGCGTCTGCCCTGCCGGGCTGGTTGCTGAATCAGGACACCACGGAAGTGTCCTCTGGTGACTTCGCTGTTGCTGCTGCTGCCGTTTTGATGCATCAGACTGTACACAGTGCTCACTAAGAAAGGATGGTGTCCACGGCCCCGCGGTGCCTGTGTGGTTCTCTGTTTCCCAAACTGGGGAAGTTAAACCTCTCGCAGAGGAGGAAGGAGATGGGATGCCTGTGTGTATCCTCTTTTCCAGTAAATGTAGGGGTTCTTGGAAGAAAAAATACAGTAAAGGGGAGATTTTTGGTGTGAAAAAGTGGGTGCCTGTGCTTTCCTAGTTGTCTGTGTTGTGTAAAGTTTTCCGGGTCTGAGAGACTTTGAGAGAGGCCAACCACTCCATTGTCACATCAAGAGTTTATTGAGAACTTACATAGCAGGCCCCGGCTGTGTGGCTCAGTGGACCCAATGCCAGTCTGCAAACCAAAGGGTCACTGGTTCGATTCCCAGTCAGGGCACATGCCTGGGTTGCGAGCCAGGTCCCCAGTAGTGGGCAGTGGGAGGCAACCACACGTTGATGTTTCCCCTTCTCCCTCCCCTTAATAAAGTCTTTAAAAAAGAAATTTACGTAGCAGGCATGTCTTGGTGCAGGTGACGTGCACCTGTTCTGTCCTCTGTGCCACGTGGCAGGTGCCGAGGGTCCGTGTAGGACGGTGTGGGATGGACCGGGTACAGCAGGATCATCCCCAGGGTGAGGAGAGGGTGCATTGCTCCAGGCAGGGGCCTGCACAAACCAGCGGGCCATGGGGCGTAGGGTGCGCTCCGTCCGGCAGCTCCTGCTCCGGCCCAGGTCCTGCTGGATGGAGCTGCGGGGTCCAGCACGGTGCCACCGTCAGGTCGTCTGTCACTGCCCCAGGTCACTCTATTAGAATTTCAGGAGACGTGAGGAATGTCTTCTCACCCGGTCTTCCACCCTTTCCCTAGTTGGTCTGTTGTTGTTGAGCAGGGTCTGCCCGCCCCGATTTGTGAGCGTTGCCCCGGTTTGGTTTTGTGAGCATTTCGGTGGGAAGCAGCGCACCCCCCTCACCCGCCCTCCCGCTGTCCCAGTCTGGGGCGATGGGGAGTGGGCTGGGAACCCGGCACAGGGCAGCGGGCAGGACTTCTTCCCGTTTGACTGCCACGTCCTCTCCGTATGGGTTTCGTGGCTATGCTTACGGGACAGACTAAAGCAGCCGTGATCTGAGGAGGGAGGGTTGGCCCGTGTCCTCCCTCTGTATGAAATGGCTGGACAGTGCAGGAAAGGAGTGAGTGGGGTTTGGTGCGTGTGAGCTGCGATCAGCAGCCCCCGGCGCACGGTGGATGCGCATTGCTGAGACTCTCCCACGACAGGCCTGCGCTCTGAGCAGACAGTGGGCGGGGTGGCACGCTCCCAGTCTGGGATACATGCCTGCCTTAGAGCCCTTAGGAGCGTCCGTGCCACCATGCGCTGCATCCCCGTGGCGCTTCATGCACTGGGTTGGCAAGGTGGTTTCCCCAGGGTTTCGCTGTTGCAGAGGGAAGGCCCTCGAAGCCCCAGACCCCTTTGCCCAGGCTTAGTTCTAGTCCTTTGAAGGCTTCCAGCTGACCCATGTCTGGGGCTGTTCAGAGCCTGTGTTCACGGGGTGGGGGAATTGTGTTCAGTAATGGCACAGTTGGTTGGGGAAGGCCACAGACACCAGGGTCCGTTGTCAGGATGCATGAAATAGGTGACAGCTCATGGCATTGTCGGTACTAATGAACAGTGGAACCGATTTAAACATTCAGTAGGGAGTGTAATAGATTCACAGCGCATCTCACCCAGTGGAAGGCTGTGCAGCCATCAGAGCGCTCCCAGAGGTTCTCAGTAGCGGGTCACAGTGTTAAATGAACAGTTTGTAAGGCCCAAGACTGTCATCTCTGAAAAGTCACTTGCGGGAAATACGTAGAAATACTAGTTGTCTTATGTCCTGGGTTTGTGGGTGATTTATCTTCCGCAGAGTGGGGGGTTTTTTTGTATGAGGTTTTATTTTCAGAGGGGGGAGAGGGAGAGAAACGTGGGTATGTAAGTAAAACATGAAAACATCAATTGGTTGTCTTTTGCATGTACCCCAACCAGGGACCAGGCCCACAGCCCAAAATCAACCCAAAATCAGCTTCTTGGGGCTGATGGTCGACCAACTGAGCCGTGCCTGCTCTGCAGCGGCAGCGTGGGGTGTTTTTTTGTTGTTGTTGTTAATTGGAAAAGAAAGAAAACAACCCCTCCTGGCATGGGTGGGTGGGGGCGCTGGAATTCCTGGCTCCTAAGCACCAGATTGCTTTAAAGATAACCCAAACCTAAGAGTTTCTCAGCAGCTGAGCTGGGCAGACAGCTAAAGGACAAGGGTGTGAGGTTTGGGTTGGAGGCCCCACGAGAACATGCACTGCTTAACGGTGCTGTCACCGTATAGTGTGTGTAACCCGAAGAGGCCTGTGTGATGGGGGAAGAGACTGGTGAGTCACTCACTGAATGTGACTCATGGAAAAGAGCCGCTGGGGAGGGCCAGCCAGGAAACGAGTCCTCACTGTGTCTCCACCAGGGGGCAGCACTTCACCGCCTTTTTGTGTCTGGGGCAGGTCTCCCTCAGGGCCCACTTGGGTCCCACCCTCTGCGTACCAAGCATACTTGAGTTGGGGGTGGGGAGCAAGGGAGTGCCCTAGGCCTCTGGTCAGATCCTTCGGCTCTTCTCCCGAGGGGTTAATACGTATCTGCCAGCCAGGGACCCTTCCTTTAAACCAGTAAGTTGTAAGTGGCCGTGCCCTGTGCTGCTTCTAGCCTGGCAGCCCTTTGCCGTCCCAGCAGGGCCTTCTCTGCGTTGACCTTGCTGTGTCCCTCCACTCAGTACCTTCGTGTTGGATGAATTCAAGCGCAAGTACTCCAACGAGGACACTCTGTCCGTGGCGCTGCCGCACTTCTGGGAGCACTTCGACAAGGACGGCTGGTCGCTGTGGTACTCCGAGTACCGCTTCCCCGAGGAGCTCACCCAGACCTTCATGAGCTGCAACCTCATCACTGGTGAGACGAGGGCAGGTCTGGGAAGAGGAAGGGGGGCAAGGTAATGTGATCTCCACGGCTGAGTGTTGTCCCTGGCTCCTTCAGGAATGTTCCAGCGGTTGGACAAGCTGAGGAAGAACGCCTTTGCCAGTGTCATCCTCTTTGGCACCAACAACAGCAGCTCCATTTCTGGAGTCTGGGTCTTCCGAGGCCAGGAGCTGGCCTTTCCGGTGAGGAGAGTGCGGGGGAGGAGGCTGTGTCTTCAGTGCTGGGCGAGAACCCATGGTTTCCACACCCGCCGGTTCCCAGGCCCGTGGGCATTCGGGAAAGCTCTGGGAGTGCGCAGGAAGGAGCGGGCACGCCCCTGGGAGTCCCGGGTTCTGATGACATGGGTTTGAGCTGGAAGTAACAGGTGTGAGGCAGTGTCCACTCGGTAACCCGACCATGTGCTTCTTACCTGGCACTTTGTCTCTCAGCTGAGTCCGGACTGGCAGGTGGACTACGAGTCATACACGTGGCGGAAGCTGGACCCCGGCAGCGAGGAGACGCAGACGCTGGTCCGAGAGTACTTCTGCTGGGAGGGGGCCTTCCAGCACGTGGGCAAAGCCTTCAACCAGGGCAAGATCTTCAAGTGAACGTCTCTGCCATCTCCTGGCTGCCTGCAGCTGCCCTTCGGGGAGAGGGGTCATTAAAGGAAACTGAACACTGAGCCTTTCTTGTCCTGCCTCCTTTGTGAGCGGTGGCTGCTGCAGAGGGTGTGGCCTTCCCTGGGCCCGTCCTGCCCCCTTTGCAGGAGAGAGGTCTTCTGAGAGCAGGCCCCATCCTCACCTGCGACTGTCCTGCCACCTGCTGTGGTGACTGTCCTCTGGCTGGCAGGTGCTGGACACAGAGCAGGTGGGGACATGGGGCTCTGTGAGTGCTCACGTAGGGGACAGATGCCACACCTTTCCCGGTGGGCAAGAGTACCTGCCAGCAAGGGTGAGAGCTGACATGGAAGCGCGCAGCTGGAGCAGGACTGCAAGCCGCCTCCCACGGCCTTGCTGGGAGGGAGAAGGTGGCCAGCGGGGGCAGGGTCTGAACACACCCCTCGTTGGCCTTGGCCTGGCTGCTGACTGGCTGGGGGCCCTGCTTCTCCTGGCGAGTGTTGTGTGATGAGGCAGGACTTCAGACCCGGTGGGTGTCACTTGGGCCTGAAGGCCGTTGCGTCCTAGAGCGAGGAGCGGTCACAGTGACCGTTTGGTGGCCCCACCCAGACCTGTGGTTACGTTTTTTTCCTCCTTTGAGCTTAATTTTTATTCTCTTCAGAGATTCTCGCCCCTACCGAGATTGTCATTTCTGAGGAGCACTGATGATTAACAGCCCAGGTGGACCTGGGCATCTGGCTGGGTTCGCGTTTTGAGTTGTGCGGAAACAGGCGTGACTCTGCCTGTTGGTCATCGGGTTGTGTTTCTGTGGGTGATTTTTCTCTCCTATCCCTTTAGTGTAAGTGCAGGGGGCTTCGCAGGGGGAGAGGAGAGGTGGCTTTTCCAGGCACTGAGGGGCCTGGCAGCTGGAGAGTGGCAGAGCTGTAGCCTGCTGGGGACCTCAGCTGCAGTTGGGGTTTGGAATCCAGTGAGGTGAGGATGGGTTGGTTCTTGCTCAGTTTGCTTCCTGGAATCTCATCTTGCATTAGATCCAAACCTGTGACCTGGGTTGCATCTGAGCCTCCTGGGCTGCTCTTGGATGGGAGCTGAAAGTGCCAAGTGCTGGCCGGGGCGTGCTCTGAGCCAGTTGCTGGGCCTCACTGAGCTTGTTGGACTCCTGTTCCCACCACACCCCCTGCTCCTCTGCTTGTGCAATCCTCACTACCTTCCTGGTATCCATCTTCCCTGTAGCTGACCATTTAGGTAGGAGAGACCAAGTTGTGCGAGTAGGTTTGAGGGGCAGGCTTGAGGCCCAGGAGTGTGGCCCAAGTAAAAAGGGGTGTTTTCTGCTGGGTAAACCAGGTCTTGGGCAGCTGCAGGCCTGGTAGCCCGTGCGGACTGGCCAGCTCTGGCCTTGGGTGTGGGAGCCCGCCTCCTAGCTCCCTCCGAGGCTGCAGGAAGGTGACTCATTCGCACCTCCTGCACCTCTAGCTCCTGCGGTCTGGTGCAGAGGAGGGCACCTGGTGGTTGGACAGAGGCCTGGCCTGTGCCTGGGTTGCCCACAGGCTGGAGGTGGGCTGGAAGGCAGGAGGGGAGGGGGCTGTGGCCTGAGGAAGGCTTGCAGTTGGCCTCCAAAAGGGGGTGGGGTAGACAGCCTCTTTTCTACCCGGATGGGCAAGAAAGGGGTTAACAGCACGAGTTTCTAGCGGCAGATGTGGGGCTGGAAAGAGGGGAAGTACATCTGGAGCTGGTTCGGTCCTGCCCTGCCCCTGGGAAGCCTGAGTCACCACACCGCTGAGGGCTCTGGACTCGCACCCTCCCTGTCCCATGGATCCATTCCCACGGGGAGCCCTGCCTTTCCCTGCCCGCCCTTCCCAGCTCTGGCTGGGGGCGCCTGGCTCCCCGTGGGTGGCCAGCGGGAACCTGCACCTGGGACTCATCTCTCCTTGCTGGGCTGTTTTCTTGACCTGCCAGAGAGGCTTAAGCCACCCCTTTGCCGCCAGGAACCGGCCTCCTTGCTGCCACAGCGAGGCACATGCAGGCAGTGGCTGGGGTCTCCGGCAGAGGAAAGGGGGTGCAGGGAAGGGGTGGAGGCTGAGAGCAGGGTGTGGTCTTGGAGAACTAGGGAAGGAGGAGGCTGTTTTACCCACTTTCTGGGCAAAACCTCAGAGCCTCGAGAAAGGGAGGCTGAGAAACCGGATAGGGGGCCGGGCTCAGAGATGCATCTGAGTGCAGATAAAAGCTTTCCAGAGCCTGGAGTGTGAATGGGAATGGCTGAGATCTGGTTTAGCTTGTAGATAAACCAGTAGATACTGGTTATAAGCAGCTATTTATTTTAGCTTTGTTGGCGCTTCTGGCTTAAGCCACAGACTAAAAAGTCAGAAGCCTTTCAAGTTCTTCCAAGAAAGACCGGGGTTGTCATTTGGTTCATGTCCTGCTTTGAGCCAGGGCTGGACAGCTGCTGCTCTCGGTGGGGCACACCCGTCCCACCAGCTGCCTACGTGCCCCAAATGTACCACTTCCCCTTTTGAAAGGTGGTGGGGGGGAGGGTCTAGAGTGTTGAACGGAGAGGAATGGTGTGCTTTGGAGGCTCCGCCCAGTCGTTTCTGAAATTAATACTGTGGTT